TTAAAAAGAAAAAAAAAGCATCTACTTACCCTAGAAGCAGGGCTGGGGGGCATTCCAGGGCCTCCTGGCAGAGCCCCCACCCCGGGCATCACAAGACAGCAGGAGGCAGGAGGGCCCAGGCTGGGGCCGTCCCTCTGCCCCACACTGTGTGGGAGGGGCCCCAGTGAGACAGATGGCAGCTACAGCTGCTGATAAGGGCCAGGGGTTGGGGTTTGTTGTTTTTTTTTTTAACTATGGGGATGCTTGGGGGGGGGAGCAGGTGTCAAGCAGGGAAGTGATCTGGGGGTTCGGGGGGGCTGCCCAGGCAGGAAAATGATTGGGGGTTGAGGGAGCTGGTGGTGGCAGGGAAGGGATTGGGGAGGCAGGTGGGAGGACCAGTGGGAGACCCCCCTCCGTGGTCCCCTTCCCCCTCCTCTAGCCCCATGACCCCTTACTCACCGGCACTGGAGCCCTGGTGCTGAACACATGGCCTGACAGGCCATGCGTTTCAGCATCAGGGCAAGGGGCCAACCACAAAAACACTCTGGCAGCCAAAGCATCTCTGTGGAGGACCCAGCCTCTGGTTGCCTCAGGGCACAGTCCATGCCCTGCCCTGCTTTTTTAAACTTTGGGTTTTTTAGAACCCTGGATATCCAGGGGTCTAATTTTCTCCCCACATTGCAAACTTGCAGGGCAGGGAACATTTTTTAATTCCCACACGTCTCTTGCCCCATCTCAAAGGGGTTTGTGCAGAAAATTCAGGTACATTAAATGCATGCATAGACATACCCACTGAAAGCAACACTTAGGCCAACCATGAGTATATTTGAAAATCCCATTCTACGTGTCCCAGCTATAACAGAAAGGTATCTAATTTTCTGTCAAGCAATTTTTTAAGACTGGATCTTGTCATTAAGGAGGTTTCCTAAATAGATCATCCCAGAACAAAATGCCTTTTTGTGCATTAGAAGCATAAAATCTAATTTTATGGCACTTTCTCCTGTAAGCCACTGGGATCCAGGTGTTATAGCTCAGGCTGGGGATGTAATGTACAGATGCACGCTACCCAAAGCAGACAATTAATAACATTAACGTAACACTTTATATGGCTGATGTACTGTTTAACATATAAATAATCCTGTGAAGTAGGTGAGCTATTTAGTTTATTGTTAATTGTCATAATACATTTATAAAGCATGTTTCCTATTCAGAAAATTCCTGGAGAAGAGGCCAGAAAGCTCTTTCACTGGACCTCAGCATAGGAGCTGCTAATAGATATAAGGAATGACATATTATAGGCAAGCTGATTATAATAAGTGGCTGTTACATCATGAAATGCGATTCAGGACTAGTGTTAAAAGGACTGACACAATAACTCATTTGATGAATGACAGAAATTTATTATTTACTACAAGTATTCAGTGTTAAATGAGCCTAAAGCAAAGCAAAGTCCAGCATTTAGCTGTAAAGGTGATAATATCTTACCAATTACAGGCAAAAGAGGCAGCCTGTTTCTTGATAGTTTCTCGGATGAAAGGGACTTGGGGGTCATGATTGACCACAAGATGAAGTCGTTTACTTAGACTT